TCTCCTCTTTCAGATCAGAAAATCATTCCAGCTGAACCTGGACAAACGAACGTCACTTTGCCATGTCGAGCTCCAAACAACAACGTCGTTATTATTGTGGAGTGGAGCAGAGCTGACCTGGAGGAAGAATATGTGCTTCTGTTTCGGGATAAGAGGCTCAATCCAGATGAACAGCATCCATCTTTTAAGAACCGGGTGGATCTGCAGGACAGACAGATGAAGGATGGAGACGTGTCTCTGATTCTGAAGAATGTGACAGTTAATGACACTGGAACATACGAGTGTCGTGTCGTCCAAAGAGAAGCAAAGCGCAGGAAGAAAGCTGTTTTGAAAAATGAGCCCATCAGCATCGTCACACTAAGAGTCGTTCCTCCAGGTGAGTGAGTAGAGTTGAGTGTGTGTGTGATCAGAGGTGAAGCTGCTTCCTGGTTGTTGATGTTTGTTTCTAAAGATGTTGTTGATGAGACTTTGTAGAAAGCAGCTGGTCTGAGTGATGTGATCAGAGTGCAGTAGATAATGTCTGACAGCAGTTTGAAGAGGAAATGGATTCTGTTCTGTTCTTCACTCATCACCTACCTGACAGCTGACACCTCACACCTGTTTCTCACCTGCAGCTCAGACAGGAGGACACACAGAGGATGGAGGGAAGGAGGATGGAGGGAAGGAGGATGGAGGGAAGGAGGATGGAGGGAAGGAGGAACAATCTGTTGGACTGATTGTCGGTCTGATTCTTTCTGCTGTGCTTCTTGTTGCTGCTGTTGTTGGATTTTTGATCTACAGAAAACATAAACAACAACAGAGTCAGGATTCATACTAGCCTCCTGTTGAATTTCAGCCTGTTTGAAATGTCAGCTTAACTGTGATTCTTGTGCTTTTATTTTCAGTCTTGTCACTGAACATGTTGAAAGACAGAAATCTATAACACTAAACATCTATCAGGTACCTGTCAGACACGTCCAGATTTTAGTTTGGATTTACATTTTACATCTAAAGAAAAGAAAAAGTTCATTGCATTATAGACAGTTAATATCTGTCTGAAAGCATTAAGAATCCATTGATCAAATGTTACTTTTTTGACCAATTTTTAAATGTAATTACATTAAAATGAAACCAACACATTTCATTGTAGCTGCAGAGTCCGACATTTCCTTCCTTTGACCTGGAACGATTCATGCAGTGGGAAGCACAGGCTTCATTGAACTTTACCTTCCATGAAGGAGACTCTTCAGTCTGTTACTGTCCAACTGTTACTTCATTTTAAATATTCCAAAAGCTTTTCATATATTTCTGCTTTATTTCTATAGAATTTTTTATGCTAATTTGTTCACTGAGAAAGTTTCACATATGTTAGTCCTTAATGGATGTGGGCTGTTTTTCTTTACATTTTCTGTGGCTGTAATTATTAGTAGTATTATTTTAATCAGAGGCTTTCTGACTTCGTGAAACTGGTGATGCCGGTTTTATTTCACCTTGAATTGTTGTTGATGTGTCCAATCACCATGACCATGTCATATTCTGTTTTTACCCACATAATAAACATAAACTCTAAAAGATATACAAGCCTTCAAGTTTTCATATAAAAAACAGAGTTGAGAGGGTATTTGGAGTGTAAACTGGGCCAGGTTATGCGTTCAGCATTTAGTTGGCGCCCATCTGACCAGAGACCAGACCTATTTAAATATTACATCTAGAACTCATATAATTAGACAATTAAAAATGTTTCTGTTAACTTTAAAATGAAAGATGTACAGTGTGATACGATGCAGATGACCCGGAAGTTAGCAGCTCACAACATGACCTCAGAGTTTGACTGGATCTAAGGGAAGGAGCCAGGTTACCTTAACCAGTACATACCCTGCTGCACCTAACAGCCAAATAAATTTAAATAAGATATTTCTGTTTTGCCTGCGTTCTTATTTTATTTGTTTAGTTTTTGGTTTTACAAAGACGGCATTGAGATTGATTTCTGTGCCATAGGTAGGAGGATAGAAGAAATAAGGCACACATTGGAAAAATAAAACAGGAAAACATTCTAGTATCTGTTTATGTTAGTTAGGGGGCGAGCCCAGTGGCGGTCCTAGCCTGTTTGGCGCCCTGGGCGAACACTCCCTCTGGCCATTAACATCAACACACTTTGGGAAGGTCTGGCTAAAAGGAAGAGATGTTCTTCATGAAGGTCATCATTCTCATCAAGAGTCATAAAGACATTGTGTTGATCTCCTTTCAAACAGTTTAAGGTAAATAGTGATGATGCAGTTGAGTGTATTTTTTATTTTATATATTATATATTTTTAGCTCCAGCTGTTGATAATAATATATGTTTAGAAAAATACTAGAAAAAGTAATATAAAAATGTGTAGGTGTAAACCAGGGGTGGCCAACTCCAGGCCTCAAGGGCTGATGTCCAGCAGGTTTTACATGTGTCCTTGATCCAACACAATGGGCTTAATGGCTAAATTACCTCCTCAACATGTCTTACAGTTCTCGAGAGGCCTGGCAATGAACTAATCATTGGATTCAGGTGTGTGGTCCCAGGGTGATATCTAAAACCTGCAGGACACTGGCTGTCGAGGCCTGGAGTTATGTACCCCTGCTGTAAACAATACTGTTCAATTTAAGATAAATTTGACAAAGAAAACTTGAACAGAAGAACAGGTGTTCCAGCAGACAACGTTTCCTTTCATAATTGTGCTAATCACATACTTGTGCAAAAATAAAAGGCCTTCTGTAATCATTAAATACATATAAAACTCAGCTGTAGTGATTGTGCTGATCTGCTTGTATCCATGTTAGTGTTTAAAGTCCAACATCTCCCTCTAGTGGCCAAATATAAACCATGTGTGAGGATGGTGTTAATATAAAATGTGAATCATAGTGTTCCAGTCAGTCATCAGTGTGTCTCTGCACAGCTGTAATTAAAATGTGTTCAGAGGGCCTCAGTGTCTGAATGGTTCCAGTTCAGCTCCATAACAGCAGCGTCCCTGGTTTGATTCCTGTGTTTCAGCTCATATCTGCCTCTCTCACTGAGGGGGACGTAACTACATGGACATGATTTGTTCATCAACCAAACTGGAGATCACTGAGAGCAAAGGAGATCTTACTTGTTTCTGATTTTTCTATCCAGCTGTGTTTATTGCCAAATGTCTGAGCAATCTCATTGCATTAAAAGATACGTGTTTATAGTTTATATCTTGCATTTAGTTACCCACTGTGTTTGAACCAATAGAAAGCTGGTGCTCAGAGCAAGAGGGCGAGCTTTACTTGGTGTCAGTGACAGAAATGAAAAGAAGCTCAAATGAGTGAGAAGGACGATGAAGGAAACATCTGTGCTGTGTCTGCTCTGTAAGTAGAATCTCTGTGTTTGTTTGAATTCTTGTACTTTGACTGTCTGCTCTCCTGATAACTGATGATGGAGGAGAAGACATGAAAAACAAATCAGGCTGAATTCAAGTTCAAAACACCACGAGGACCAACTGCAGGTCTGAACTGACTCTTTATCTTTGCTCAGGAGTCGAGGAAACACAGCAGGCAGTGAAAAGATCAAATCATTCACTCGTTATATCAACACAGCTGCACAGTGGACACATGAGTTTACTGTGGGATTTATTTTTTCAGTCGTTCATGTTCGAACGTAACTTAACCTGCTAAGACCCGAACTCTTCTACAGCATGCATTTTTAATTTCTCTTTGATATTTGGGCATATTGGGGCCCGATGAATGTAAAAACAAAGAATTACCAGATTTTTTTTTACCTTATTTTTGTTTTTAAGAAAAATAAGAGCCACATAGGATATTTGTTTAAAATTTTGATAGAACAGTAGCAGTATAATGTCCTCGTAAGTGGATATCAGGCCCATGTAGAGCAAAATTGAGTATTTTGGTCTAAATAACCCGAAATGTTATGTCCACATATGTGGATGCCAGAGAATATCAGAGAGTGATGAGTTTGTGTGTTTGTCAGCTGTTTGTGTGGAGTTGTTCTTTATGTTCATCTCAAATCAACCTGAGTGTCATTTCTCTTTAGTTCTGATCTCAGTGCTGAGCTGCACAACAAACCAAGGTCAGTAACCTTCTTCTGTCACAGTTTAAACCTGAGAAATGCTCACTGATATGACCTGATTGGGTTGATGGATTAACAGATCATCAGTTTTTCACTTTAACCCTCACAGCTCGTCTGACTGTGAGTCCCAGCAGCTCTCAGTTCTTTAAAAGAGACGTTGTGTCTCTGAGCTGTGAGGAGGACGACAGCTCTGCTGGATGGACTCTGAGGAGAAACACAAGCAAACAACAGAGGACTCAGTGTGGAAGAGACTGGGGAGATCCAGCTACTTTAGCTAATTCTTCCTGTAACATCAACTACATCTTAAAACAGGACAGTGGAGATTACTGGTGTGAGTCCAGAGAGGGTCCCATCAGTAACATGGTTAACCTGACAGTCACTGGTAAGCTGAGTGTGTGGAGTTAGTGTTGATGAAGCTGTGTGTAAATGGATGAAATGCTGTAGTTTGTCTCTGTGTTGAGGTGAATCAGTGATCCTGCAGAGTCCTGTCCTCCCTGTGATGGATGGAGATGACGTCACTCTGCTCTGTAAAACAAAGACCACTCCCTCCAACCTCACAGCTGCTTTCTATAAAGATGGCTCCCTCATCAGGAAGCAGCCTACAGGTCACATGACCATCCAGCATGTTTCCAGGTCTGATGAAGGCCTCTACAAGTGTGACATCAGCGGTCATGGAGAGTCTCCATCCAGCTGGATCACTGTCACAGGTGACACACTCACCTGTCTGTGTTTCTGCAGGTTTCAACATTCACAATGTGACGACAACTTAATGACTGTGTTTGCTTTATTTTAGACAAACACACCACCACACCTCCACCTACATCCACCTCTAACCCTGGTTCCACCTCCATCACTCTTCCTCCATCACTCTCTCCTCCTGTTCTCTCTGTGTTGTCATGTGTTGGATCAGTGTGTGTTTTGGTTCTACTGGTGTTACTGGTTCTGCTGGTGAGACGATGTGTTCACAGGAAACCTGAAGGTGAGACTCAGACTTCCTGATCTTTTGTTTGTTTGTTTGTTTAGTAGAATAAAGTTCACATTCATTAAGATAACGGCAACAACTTAACCTAAATGTGATCTTTGTTTAGATATTTAATTTATATAATTGTTCATTTTGGAAAATTTTAACAGATGGAAAAGAAGCTGAAGAAGATGACATCATCACTTATGTCATGTACTGTGATGTCAAAACTTCAAAAACAGCCAATCAGACGACGCAGAGGTAGAACTGTGTTTTCTTCATAGAAGAGTTCATGTTGAGGTTTAAGCTCTTTGTTATCGTAGTAAACATGTTGATCAGTCTCATCTCTTTTCTTTCTTCTCTGCATTGGTCAAAAGTGAAGTCAAAGTCAGCTTTGTTGTCAAAGACCATATGTACAGTCACACACAAGAATTTGAATTGACAATACCTCATGGCCCTCAGTGTACACTAAACTAATATGAAGATAAAAAGATACAAATAAAATAAACGTCTTATTTACAACATCACACAATAACATACAATTATATAAACAGCAGTGTCCAACACAATCATAGTGACTGTGGCTATGTCGTGTGCAAGTGGGGGTGAGGCAGTCAGTGAAAGGGCAATGGTGGTGGGTCAGAGTTTGTATGTTTGAGGAGTTCAGAGGGAAGAGCAGTGTTGGGTTTATTAAGGCACAAACCCTGCTGCAACAGAGACAACCAATTGCGCAACCAACAGGACAAGACAGCGCTCTTTGTCTTTTCTCTCGCGAGGGAAGCCGGCCAAGGTCAAGAGCTCTTTAGTCTTCACTTGAACTTAGCCAACCTGGGCTGACTTCCCCTTTCCTGCCTCTTTAATTGACAAGTGATTACATGAATATGCAGTTACAAATAGTTCGATTGAACACGTGACAGTCTTAAGCGGGCATGTGTGTGTTAGCAAGGTATTTGCCTTCCTGGGTGTTTGTGTGTGTTCCTCGCCATCACATACATAGGCATAGTTTCTTATAAACCTTTCCAGATGCCCTGTACAGGATGCAACCTTTCAATGAGCTGACATGTGTATATGTGTGTAGAGCAGAAATAAACAGTCTTGCACCTTAGAAGAATAGAACCTTCTGGATTCACAATGTATAACAGAAAATTATAGCGTTGAGGCTGCTCTCATGTCTGCACAGAAGCTTATAAAACCTAGTAACACACATACACACAATGATTATATATATCTTAGCACAAATGACAATCTCAAAAGCGTCTACTCTAACAAGGTGAGTGCAGGTGTGGAGTTCGTGTGTGAGACACTCTGATGGATGAAGCTGTTTCTCAGTCTGCTGGCTCTTCAGTCTCCTTCCTGATGGCAACATACTGAAGAAGCTGTTGGACGGATGAGTGGCGATCCTCTGAGATGTGCACAAACATGAACTTTGTGCTGCTTACCGTCCACGGAAGCACCATTGATGGTTAGTGGGGTGTGCAGGGTGTGAGTTCTCCAGGAGTCTATGATGATCTCCTTAGTCTTCTCTACATTCAGGGAAAGGTTGTTGTTGCTGCATCACTCGGCCAGATGTTTAACTTCTCTCCTGTAGTAGGTTTCATCGTTGTTGCTGATGTGACCTACCACAATTGTGTCATCTGCAAACTTGATGAAAATGTTGGAGCTGTGTGATGGTGTGCAGTTGTGGGTCAGCAGTGTGAAGAGAAGAGGGCTCAACACACATCCTTGGGGAGCCCCCGTATTCATTGTTCTTGTGCCGGAGGTGTTTCTGCCAACCCATACTGTCTGCTGTCTTCCTGTCAGGAAATCCAGCAGCTAGTTACACAGCAAGGTGCTGATCCCCAGCAGATCCAGGGAATGAGTTGTTGGGGAATGATGGTGTTGAACACTGAACTGAAATCTATGAGCAGCATTCTAACATATGAGTCTCTAGTGTCCAGATGTGTGAGGGCTGAGTGAAGTTGAAATTGCATTATCGGTCATCAGGAACGACAGCCTGGCTCAGTGATGTATTAAAGCTGTCTGTGAAGACATCTGTGAGTTTCACAGCACAGTTCCTCAGTGCTCGTCCTGGGATGTTATCAGGACCTGGGGCTTTGCATGTGTTGATCCTGGCAAGGAATCCTCTGTGTGGGGGTGAGGTTCTGCACCTCAAGAAAAATTTCTTTAGCTCATCCCATAAAGAGGTGGGACCGGCACTCTGACGATACTCTGCCCATCCTCAGAGTATCTCTGCTGCCGCAAAAGCTCTGTGAAATCCTCCTGGAGTACTGCCTTTTTCGCCTCTCTGATGCCACGTGACAGGTTTGCCCTTGCGGTTCTTAGGTTCACCTCATCCCCAGCTCTTGAGGCTGCATTTCTCCCCCTCAGGAGCCTGTTGACCTCACCTCTGAGCCATGGTCTCTGATTGTCCCGGACAGTGATAGTCCTGGTCTCTGTGACATCATCGATGCATTTTGAGATGTAGGCAATGACATGTTCTCTATATTCCTTTGGTGTTGTCGTGTGTGGCAGCCTACTTAAAGATCCCCCATTCTTTGGAGGAAAAGCAGTCTTGCAGTGCCTCTGAGGATCTTTTTGGCCACACAAATATCGACATTAGCATAACAGTGATGTGATCAGAGGCACCAAGGTGGGGGAGGGCTTTGTAATCTTCTCTCTGGCTGGTGAAAACATTGTCTAAAATGTTGCTCCCTCGCGTGGGGAATTTAATGTGTACTGGACATGTTCACATGGAGCCTCAAGTACACAGAAGGAACTGAAGGTTTTCTCAGGTTATGTTTCAGCTCTGAAAAGCTTCCCTTTTGTTTAATGTTCTAATGAAGACATATAACACATAACTTCACACAGATGTAGCTGAAGGATAACTGTAGGGTAAATCTTGAGTCAGGGCAACTTCACCAATCTATTTACACAAGTTTTATCAGACTTCACTGATGATTCAATACATGCATTTTTTTTCCTGTCAATTAAAAGCTATGAACCTGCCTGTCATTTAGGTCAGGGCTTTAAAATAACTGCACAAATATCTGCCCAGATGCATGACAAAGATGGCTGCTGAGTATTTAAGTTCAAGGTCAATATGAAGACTGTTTCTGACTCTTACCATGTGAGATTTTAAGAATCAAACATTGAAATTACAATATTTAATTTCATAGTTTTGTGATGCATTTATTGCTTCATTTAAAATTAGAAAGGCTTAGTCAGTTCCATCGAGAACTGATGGTACTAAGTAAAACTTAGTCAAGTGCAACCGTCTGCATGTTTCACACTTACTGAGTGTTGTTCACTGTGAGCTGGACTGTGTGTTTGTGGTCTGTGGTTAACTGAAGCTAACAGCTCTGCAGTCGTCCAGCATCCTGTTTCTGATAGAAAGAAACACTTCAGCTGCAGGTGTTTCAACACAGAGCTGTTTATTTTAACAGGAGGGAACACGGAGACATAATTTGGAAAAGCATTTTAATAAAATTTCCACACAGATCACCATCCATTCAAGGTCAATATTAATTACATTAAGCACTGTTTCCATTTTATTCAGTTTTAATTTAAATTTACTTTTTGACTCCGAAATTTTAAACTTGATCTATCTCAGTATGTATATATAATATTATTTTAAATAAAGTAGTAAATCTAGTATAACAGTAGTTATCACAGCATACCAGTGTGTCTAATATTAGTGCTCATGCTGTGAAAACTGTTTGCTTTGTACTCTGTGGTGAAGAGTGTCAGTCTTCACTGGCAGCTTTGTGGTCGTCCACCTGCCCAGTACATAGAAACACCCCCCAGTTCTTTGTGGTCACTTTGTGTTTCAGAGCAAAGGTGTGAAGATGAGAAAAAAAACTGTACAAAAGGTGCTGAGCTTTCAAAAAATATATATTTAATCCACTTATTAATTAAAACATTTTGCTGTAGTGTGATGATGTAGTTTTATAGTTGTGCACCTACAAAAATGCAAATGTGTTCTATTATTTATTACACAGACAGAAATTCAGCTGCAGTCGACTCAGCAGTGAAAACTGAAGATGTCAGTTATGAACAAACCAACATCAGAACAAGGAGGCCCAGGTACAACTGCTCTTTATCTTTAACCGAGTCAAGCTAGCTGCTCACCATGTTTCCAACCATCGTGCTAAGCTAAGCTAACCATGTAACCAAATGTTTGACTTTTTAACGTCATTTAATGCAGTTAAAGAGCAAATTGTTTTTGAGCTCAAGGTTTGACTTCTGTAAACTTTAATTAGAGTGTCGACAGCTCATTGATTTCTGAACTAGTTCCAGTAAAGTCTGAACTGGGACTGTGTGTGATGCAGAGAGGTGGAGATTGGAGGTCTTGATTGAACTACAAAGCTTGTAATAATATTTGCTGTTGTTTGAACTGTGTGCGTTTGTGTTCCGACTTCAAACTAGAGCCAGACATCGTCTACTCTTCACTGAAGTAGTCCACCAGTCCAACCACTGACGTCCAGCTGCTGGTCTCTAACTGCTCCACCAGCACCTCAGACCAGAGGACATCCACATGTTATTTATATTTTTTAATTTCCTCTATAACCTGTAAAAGCGTTCCATATAAGTTCTGCAGGATCAATAAACTCTGGGATTCCCTCTTTGTTCAATCTTATTTTTATTTACCATGAAATAAGGAATAAAAATTAAGCTTCAACTGGCACACTATAAACAGCAGGGACATCATTCAGCAGGTGCAAAACACAGTAAAACACCAGTACCGAACAGTACAGTATGTATTGTGCATGTTCAGTTGCACTTTATGAGGAAGATATGAGTATAGAGAAGATTTAACATGGTGAATGGTTGACTAGTGTTCATTACCCTGTCAATATTTATAGTCTCACACTCAGTGGTCTGACCTAAAGTAAAGAAATGAAGTGTTTTAGTGTGTGATAAAGTATAAATTGATAAACATGAGACTCAGTCTGGGCTTCCATCTGGATAATACTGTCTGAATCAGAGCTCTTCTTGTGAAACCTCTCAGTGAAGCTTGAAATAGTCGTGAATGACTTTTAAAGTTTTCTGCCATCAACTGGTGAAACCAAATCAAAACAAATCAAATTCAAATTTTATTTGTCACATACACAGTCATACACAGTATGATATGCAGTGAAATGCTTACACAACTGCTCGTGACCTAAAGAAAAAAGAAGAGGCTATGAATAAGAGAGGAAATAAATATGAAAATTAAAAAGGGTAAATTTAACTAGAAAGGAATAAATAAAATTAAATATAAAAATTAAAGTTAAAAATGAAATAACTGTACAACACAAATTAGAATGAAGGGTAAATTTAACTGGGAAAGAATGAGATAAATATATAAATTAAAGTTGAAAATAAAATAACTCTACAACAAAATACACAGTACACAGTATAGAAATATATAAGAATGTATGAAGAAAAAAAAAAAAAAAAAAACACCCAGCACGCCCCTGCGGGCGGTTTATCCTTCAAGCTCGGGTCCTCTACCAGAGGCCTGGGAGCTTGAGGGTCCTGCGCAGTATCTTGGCTGTTCCCAGGACTGCGCTCTTCTGGACAGAGATCTCCGATGTTTTTCCCGGGATCTGCTGGAGCCACTCGCCTAGCTTGGGAGTCACCGCACCTAGTGCTCCGATTACCACGGGGACCACCGTTACCTTCACCCTCCACATCCTCTCGAGCTCTTCTCTGAGCCCTTGGTATTTCTCCAGCTTCTCGTGTTCCTTCTTCCTGATATTGCTGTCATTGGGAACCGCTACATCGATCACTACGGCCGTCTTCTTCTGTTTGTCTACCACCACTATGTCCGGTTGGTTAGCCACCACCATTTTGTCCGTCTGTATCTGGAAGTCCCACAGGATCTTAGCTCGGTCATTCTCCACCACCTTGGGGGAATCTCCCATTTTGACCTCGGGACTTCTAGGTTATACTCGGCACAGATGTTCCTGTACACTATGCCGGCCACTTGGTTATGGCGTTCCATGTATGCCTTGCCTGCTAGCATCTTGCACCCTGCTGTTATGTGCTGGATAGTCTCTGGGGCATCTTTACACAGCCTGCACCTGGGGTCTTGCCTGGTGTGATAGACCCCAGCCTCTATGGATCTTGTACTCAGAGCTTGTTCTTGTGCTGCCATGATTAGTGCCTCTGTGCTGTCTTTCAGTCCAGCTTTGTCCAGCCACTGGTAGGATTTCTGGATATCAGCCACCTCCTCTATCTGCCGGTGGTACATACCGTGCAGGGGCCTGTCCTTCCATGATGGTTCCTCGTCTCCCTCCTCTTTCTTGGGTTTCTGCTGCCTGAGGTATTCACTGAGCACTCGGTCAGTTGGGGCCATCTTCCCAATGTATTCTTGGATGTTCCTTGTCTCATCCTGGACTGTGGTGCTGACACTCACCAGTCCCCGGCCCCTTCCTTCCGCTTAGCGTACAGCCTCAGGGTGCTGGACTTGGGGTGAAACCCTCCATGCATGGTCAGGAGCTTTCTTGTCTTTATGTCAGTGGCTTCTATCTCCTCCTTTGGCCAGCTTATTACCCCAGCAGGGTACCTGATCACGGGCAGGGCGTACGTGTTGATGGCCCGGATCTTGTTCTTACCATTCAGCTGACTCCTCAGGACTTGCCTGACCCTCTGCAGGTACTTGGTGGTTGCAGCCTTTCTAGCGGCCTCTTCATGGTTCCCATTTATATATATATATATATATATATACATACACAATAACAGCAGCAAAAGGTTTTTTTGTACAAGTATTAAATGGAAATGAAGAAATATAATGTCCAGTGTTGTGCAATCCACATTTGTAAGTGTCTTGTGCAGTGCAAATATGCAAATAAGTGATTTAAGTGAAGAGGTGAAAACAATGTCCAGAATGTCCAGTGTGTGTGTAAGAACCATATGTGTGGGTCAGTACTGTGTGGTGGTGTGATTGAGAGACCGTATCGCCTGCGGGAAGAAGCTCCTCCTCAGTCTCTCTGTGTTGGTCTTCAGGGAGCGGAATCGCTTTCCTGACCTCAACAGAGAGAACAGTCTGTTATTGGGATGGCTGAGGTCCTTCACAATCTTCCTGGCCTTGGTCCAGCACCGCCTGCTGTAGATTGAGTGCAAGTCAGGGAGCTCGGAGCGGATGGTGCGCTCAGCTGATCGCACAACCCTCTGTAGAGCTCGTCTGTCCTGCATGGTGCTGTTCCCGAACCAGGTTAAGATGTTTCCCGTCAGGATGCTCTCTATGGTGCATGAGTAAAATTTCCTGAGCACCTTGGAAGGCAGTACAGTTCAAACAGTTGACCATTAAACCAGTTTGCATTTTACTCAGTCTCTTAACAATTTCAGAAACTTTAAAAATGCCATGTTTCAGTTCTGTTAAAAGATCTCTGTGTGGCTGAAAATACTTTATAAAGGTATAGATGGGAATCTAAATCTAAAGAGTTCACTGGATTTGACGGGTGGGTGTTAAGAGGCTACTGATACAAACGGGAGGATCTCATTTTTCTTGGCATCTTAGGATCCTCCAGATCAGGACGTTTAAATCTTAGTCCCACATAGCAAGCAGGTCTGGCCCGGATCTGGTATCAAGCTGGCACTTCTGACTAACTGGTGTCATGACAGAGTGTATGTCGACCAGATGTGGGCCAGGTCTGGCAATGATGGCACTGTTTATGTTCCCATTTACCTCCACTTAATCCAAAACCTAGTGAGGGTTTACTCATCTTTGCCAGTGGGTGGCTGTAACTCAGGAGGAAGCGCAGGTCACCTACTGATTGGAAGGTTAGTGGTTCGATCCCTGTTTCCTCCAGTCTGCATGTTAAGAATGTTATTGTATTTAGAAAGCACTCACTTTAGAGAAAGTGTATGTATAAGATTCTATATAAGAATCAGTCCATTTGCTGTCTGACTAGAGTCTTGGCATGTTGTGGCACATGTTGTTATTACATGGTTTGATTAAGGTACACATTAGGCCGAAATCCGGGGCCAGAGCTGAAACCTTTCTGGGCCTGCACAGGGCCAGCAGTGCGCATATAACTGGCCCATGGCTGCACACAACTTACATATGGCCCACATACCGCAAAGACTGACGGCCCTTTGGCGGCCAAGATCAGTTTCACCAGATGTAGTCCACTCATGAGGTTTTGCAGCACCCTCTGGTGGATTATTGAACCACTTCAGGACAGAGTCAGGAGGGAGCAATAGTCTGTGGTCACCATCTCCTAAACTAAATTTGTTTATCGTTTATTTATTTATTTATAAAGCACATTTAATTACAACAGTATGGAGCCCGGCAAGGGACATGGGGAAAAAAAAATTAAGACGGACTTTTGCAAGGTCTCGCAAAACAAACTCGGGATCTCGCAAAAGTTTTAGCCGCATACTTCGGAGGCCGCCAGCTCGAAGCTGACCGGGAGGTCGAGGCACGATGTGCCGGGAGAGCGGTGTTCCTCCCGGCTGTAGTAGGTCTCGACCTCCCGTTAGCTTCGAGATGGTGGCTGTCAGACATCTCCGAAAACGTCGGAGCACTTTTGCAAATATGTGATGTCTTGTAAACCGAGCAGATATTTGAAGTTTACACAGCTACGTTCACGCCTCAAAATATCTTAAAATTTTATTTTGTGACCAAGAAAGAGTAATATTACAAGTAGCTGCCGCCATTGTTGGAATTCAACTTTTGCGAGATCCCGAGTTACTTTTGCGAGATCTCGCAAAAGTTCATCGTAATTCTTTTTTCTCCCATGTCCCTTGCGGGGCTCCGTACAACAGCAACTTTGACTAAAGTCCAAAAATGTACAAAAATACAAAATAACTAGTACCAAATAACTTATAATATTAGTACATAACAATAATACCAAATAACTCTTATATTGCATTAAAAGCCAGTGTATACAAATTTGTTTTCCGTGGACAACACACATGTTGGAACTTAAATTTCTGACCCCTTTCATAACAAATTAAACGGGATCTCCTCCCCCTTGCTTCCGTTTTTGGGAGCGGTGCTAAAGGCTTAAGACTGTGCAGGTTAACATGAAGAGGTGCAAGGATTGCTACTTGGTCCAAAAATTGTCACTTTTGTTTTGTTTTCATTAAAATTTAGAAAGTTACAGGCTATCC